AAGTAAGTTTCAATTCACCAAACCGACCAAACAAACTCATCAGCCTCGTACTCTTGGACTCAACCAGATTGGCAACTTCCGTGGTGAACTCGAACACATTCCCACCCACGATCTCTTTCGTCATATCCGTCTCCTCGTTCATCCACTTTGCCTAAAAATATAAAAAACAGAGCACATAATGTGGTTAACAACACCTGTACCCGCCGTTGACATCAAACGCAAGCAAGCTTACATCTTTGAACGTTCGCTGACTCTCGTAGCCATCGATAGTGTTCACACCTTTGTTGCAACCAAACTCGCCGAACATTAGCGGACGGGAATAGCCAACCTGAGCGTATTCCTTCATCAGTTTCTTCAGACCAGCTGATTGCGAGTACTCCGCGTTCTTAGGATCGCACTCGACGTACGGGTTGAAGCCCATCCTGTCAATTGCAAAAACATGAGGTGATCTGTGCCTCAAAAGTATGATCACGTGTCAAACAGCTTACCATTCAGCACGCGTGTACTCGTCATCATCCACAGCGCAATCATAGTACCCGATCCATTTCTCGCGAGGAGGAATGTCGGCAATGTCGAGACCAATTGGCACCTGACGTACAGACCCGGAACAACTCGCAGCATAACTTCGAGTGTCACGCAGGAAAGCCTTGACACAAGGAGCTGTCGCAGTGCCATCGGCTCCGTTCTCCACCTGTAGATTGTTTTCGTTACCCACGCTGAAGCCCAACGTATTATCGTACACGGCAAACGCGTTGTACACCATTTGTGCACGGGTGAGGAGCTCGTCGGGATAGCACTTGGGTGGCAAGTAGTCGAGTACTGAGCAGTTTTCGCATCTGTCACATTGATGCAAGGACTATCAGACACCAACAAACCAACAAACTAGAACTGCCATAGTCCTACGAGATACTTACGGAGCAGTGATGCCGACTAAGACGTAAATGCCTGCTTCCGTACACGCACACATGAACTCGTCGTGCGGAAGACTTGGATCCACCGAATACAGACGGATGGTATTTACACCCAAATCCTTTAGAATTTCAAGATGTGGCTTCCACACATCCTTATGCTTGTCCGCTGCCCAGTCGTAGTTACCTACTTCAGCCCATTTACCTTTGTTGGGACGGGGGTAGTAGGCCATTCCTTTCATCCGAAATTCAAGACCTGTCTTGGAATCAAAAAACTTGTTGCCTTTGGTGATGATTGGGGGCAGCCACGCATCAGCAGGTGACACGACAATAGCAGTGCAAAGTACAGCAGCAGCACAAAGACTGCGAACACGAGAGCCAAAAGCCATTTTGACAAGAAGGGGGAGGAGGTGAATGCGTTTTCGTACTAAGGACTAGTCGTTCAGGACTTCAGTAGGATATTTCGGTCGCTTCACGTTAGTAGCGAGCAGCAAAATGGAGAATGAATTGATCGACTGTGCATATTCAGTTCAAACGGCATAGCTCGACAAATGAACTGACGTCAGGATTTATGTAGAGAGCCTCGATATGTCGTTCAATTGCACAAGACCATGTCGCACGAGCGGCCGACTAGACATAAAATGTATGATCCGTTGTCACGCATAGACGACATAAGCACAACGTGCCGTTGGCACAGACGACCCATTATTAGCTAAAAGTTCGTTGACAACAACATTGACAACCGCATTCGTTACTTTGTCACAGCAAAAAAAACGTCTCCTCGTCTTTCATGTGAGGCCACGCACTATCGTCGCACAACATGCACGATGCCAAATTTACATGATGTGACATCGATTTGGCATTGAACATGCAACAACCGCATAGGAGGAAAAAAGTTGATGCAGAGAGGAAGCTTTTGTAATGGCGATGCAGCCAGTTTCCTGCGGGGTCAAACGTAGAAATCTTAACAGGGATTGGCAAACCATCATGACGACTTGATGTACATGCTCTCGGTGTTAAAGCACATAGCGTGAGATAAAAGCGCTCGTATCAGGCAGAGTGTCCAGTGCATGTAGTGGTAGAAAAGATCTATTCTATGCATGCACCTAGCTTCTTGATGTACGCAGCGAGCGGCAGCGCAGACTACGATTGCTACAATCTCTATGTGCGGTGTATCCTCTTCTTTGTTTCTAAGATCGTCTATAACAACCCGTCATTTCCACATGCCGCATTGCCCTATAACGAGTCACTCACTACCACATGGTCGTTTGATCGGGGGAAGCTGTACTAGCATCTAATTTTTCATGATATCATTACCAAGGTCTTGTACATTCGCATTGTTGTAATGTTCCGGGTACTCACTTCTTCAAAATATTTTATATTAAAAATAGATTGAGATATGCTTCAAAGAACAACACTATGAGAGGAGTGAGGCGGTGGTACAGGTAATCGTTATCTTGGTAAAAGTAGCGCATGTCTGCAAATCTCATATAAAAAAGTATCACTTGTTCGTCCTGTCGAATAGACGTACGTAACGCGCAATTGTATCGCTACAATTTCGGTCCTCTGCCACATTTGATTTGCCCTTTGTATGTTATATACATTCAGTTGTTTCAACGCTCACCCCTATCTTTTGCCGCTACCTTCAAACGTCTTACGACTCTGAGTTACTAGAAAATCCAGTCCTGTGCTCTAAAGACTCTACAAAAGTTCCTTCTGATCTGTTGCAATCGATACCTTGATTCTTTGAAAGCAAAGAGTTGTTATCTCCTCTACAAAGAAGCCAATTCTAACGCCGATTGCATTATGGCTTTGCATACCAAAGAACTTGATGGCTTTGAGACCGGGAGTTGATTAGATAAGACAGTATTACTTTAGGCCGAATTTAGTGTACGGGTCTTGGTCAAGACTGGAATTATTGAGCAGTTATCAGGTAAGGCGTATCAATTTTTCTGTATTAACGAACATATATCCGCTAGAAACCCAGGTGAGAAGTTGCTTGACGATCTTTTTCTCTTCATACCATACCATGAATGTGCGTCATTAAAGAATAATACTTTCCAGCTTGCGTTACAGAACAAAACATTTTCATTCAATGCCTAGGACTTGCAAGTTCCAGACTTGGGATATCAGCTCCGGTTAATACTCCACGTGATCAGCGCAGTCCACGTCTAGCCACAGCGTTAGTCAAGAGAGTCGCAGCTTAAGAGGAAACATGATACAAACCGCTTCATACCGCTCTTGTTTTTCATCGAGTGGTTTCGTCTTTTCTTCAGTAACTTGCGCCTGACTTGGAGGTCGCGCGCTTCTCGGCTTGCGTCAAGGCTGCAGTTGCCTTTACAGCCTGTGCTCTTGGTAGAGGTCAATCTTTGATCGATAGGATAAGTTGGCCGCCAGAAGCTTTGGAAAATGGACCCAGCAGCGGCCTCAAGCGGTATTTGAATGCACTCGACAGCGAGCGGCTCCTAAGATTTCGTTTGATAAAGCTTTGCTGCTTTGCGGTTTTCTAGCCTTTTCAGATAAGTAGGAACGTAAGCAAGAGCAGCTTCTATGCTGTAGTTCCAGCAATTATTGTGTTGCATGAGGCAACTAACAATGAGGTGCACAACTTTGTAGGACTTGACATTGAAGTACTAAAACTGCTTCTATCCTTTTGACGACACGGTCACCGTACGTAAGTGCTGTACAACATTGCGCAGTAAACTCATTTCATTCCGGGGTGCAAACCAGCTGTCGTCTCATCCCGAGATCTCTTCGATTGCAAGCTTTTAAAAACTTTTCGCTTGATAGTGCGGCTTCTATCGCATCTCTACTGCCATCGCAACAGCATCTGCAGCTTATTCTTATTCTACAATACTCAGCTGTCATGATTTCTTGCTCAATGCGTCAGCTACGACTGGATAAAGTACTATACATGTCATATGCTTGATGTCTAGCTCGTTGCACGACCTCTTAGAAAACCCCGCACAAAAGAGCTTCAGCATTAGCGAGGACAAGATGTTCCATCGTGAAGTTATAGGAAGCTTATCGTTTAAGTAAGCCCCAGCAAAATATAGCTCTTTTCGTTCCTGGCAGTCTAGATACCATCTGATCGAACAGTCTTGAAAAGTAGGCGACTCGACTTTTTCGGCTAGCGAAAGAGTACTGTCGTCGTATGAGGTTAAAGTTGCAAGTGATCACGTGTCGGCTCGCTCACTCGGTTTTACTCCTCATACGTAATCGGACATCAACTCTTCAGCACGAAATGGCATAAGGGAATTGTACAGTAGGCACTAGGCTAACTTCTATGATCATTGCTAAGTCCTTTCCGGATACTTTCAGCTACTCTTTCCTTCCACACGAAACAACAAAGTGCCAACCATCTTTTTCGTTCTGGCACTTCATGACGTGCAATTCCGCTTCCAATTGCTTGCACTAAAATTTTCACATCAATGGCAACGCACTCTCCTCGATCACATTTAACGAGCGATTTCGCGTAGCTGTGATTGCGACAGCTGGCTACTGTTGTTTTCAACCTTGCTAGCTTTCATGATCTTACTATAGCTGGAGTTGTTAAACGCTGGGGCTAGCTAGTGGTATCAGATGATGAAGATAGTATACTAGATTTTTACTTTGCAAGGGGGCATTGATATTGGAGCATGGTCTCGTCAACTATGTGAGGTTCAGAGTTTATCTCAGGACTTGGCTTTGGTGTTTAAAGCCTGCAACCATGAAGTGGCAAAGTTTACTATTCGTATGTTCTCGTTTACGCCATTAAGGTCATGACGAAAAGTTCACCAAGAGTAGAGGTAGTACATATGCACAACTACTAGGTATCTTGTAGAACATGTACTGTACTAAGTTATTAGCAATTTCCTCATTCAATCTGTTGGATTTGAGAAATTTCAATTAAACGGATGTAACAATGACGCGTTTATTTCAGTCATGTAATTTATTCTTAAAAACCCACCGATTTTATATGATTTTACTGTAGTGATAGATATCAAGAAATTATCGAAGTAGCCTTTTTTTTGCGTAGAATACGTATAATGTTGGCCACATCAATAGACATCCGTCAAAAACGACGTTTCTAAACGATAATTTTTGACGTTCATGGAGATCCAACTGAACGCCGCTACGGAAGATGAGGATATGGAGGAGACAGCGCCCGATCTACTGCACGCTGTGCACATGTCTTCTCTGCTATCAGATGACGTGGGCACTCCTCAGAATGCTTCACATCTGCCACGCTCAGGTCTCTCAAGCCTCATTAACTCCCCATTGCCAGACGATCAGAATGATGAAATCGTACTTAGTCAGGACTCCGAAACTGTCGAAAATGAAATTGACGATAATGTTGAAATGGAAGAAAAAAAGCAGTCCGTGTCAAAAATGCCCACGCTACAAACAGCTGAGCTACAGACACTGCAGACGGAGCTGGATGCGGCACTTATAAAGCTCTATACGGAGACAGCACCAGCTCCAAAGAGACAGAAGAAAGGAAAACAGAGTCGAAAAACTAAAACTGCTGTTGTCACTAATAGCAATGCAGCAGAGATGGAAATATTTCGAGTACTGGACCGTTTGCAACGGATTGTGAGCACGCAATTCACCCAAAAAGACGTTCTTGAGGACGTTATGAAGCTTTGTCTTGCTTTTTGTGAGCTGGTGGACGAGAAAGAGCCGGTGCAGAGCTTTGTGGTGCTAAAAATTGACGAGAAAAAGAAGAAGATGGTGGATCTGGACAAAACGGTGGGCAAATTGCCGAGTAAACCACTTTACGGACAAGTAATGGGCGTTCTGAGACGTACCGTGCTCTGTGGAGGCGAGACAATTGGGCAAGAGTTTTTGACGCAGGTGCTGGATTGGTGTCTAGTCCGACCAACGCCTTCAAATTGGATGTGGATGCTGGTGTCAATTGCGCAAATGGATTCATACTCTGTTCAAGAGTTTTTGTTTCGTGAAGCAATTGCGAGATATCAGGGTATAGGAGCAATCGACGATGAAGTGCAACAGTTTCTTCCGGCCTTGGAGTTTTTGATCGAAAAGTATCCGGCAAAAATGGTGGATATTCTCTGTGATGTGTTGGAAGAGTGTGCATCTAGCAACGAAGGATCGACTGAGAAAGTGAGGCGGCTTGTGGCGCTAGCAAGTGATTCTGCCGTCCTTGTTGCTGCATGTGACGATAACCTTCAGTGGATTGTCACGGAGAAATTGGTTATTGAACTTGCCAGCAAGTTTGGGGAAGGAAAAGAAGCTGATGGTAACGACAATATGCATGTAGAAAGAATGGAAGTGCAGCTGCTCAATTTTGTCCGCAAACGAAGCGCGGAACTGTCAAACTCAGGCTTCCAACTGCTACTACTGCTACAGAATCTATCCGCATCAGACTTGCCGCCACGACTCGCAGCTTCCGTTGTCTCATTTCAAAAGCAGCTACGCGAGATTGCTGGGTCTGAATCCTCGCGTGCCTTTGCGAAAGGAATTTACCGGTTCCTCCCGTACATCTGCCAAAGCACTCTTCGACTGCTCCAAGCGATGACTTCAGCTGATGAAACACCTGATAGTAGTATGACATCGTCAGGTGCTGATGAAATGATGTCCAGAGACACAGCGAGCCGGCGTTTTGAAGAATGGAAGCAGTGGTTGTATGTGCTGGCACAGTCGATTTCTCGAAAAGAGGTGACGGAGCTGCTTATAAAGACCGATTTGATGTCGGCGGAGTCGAACGACTTAACTTTCGCAGCGACCCAACCTGCAGATCGCGCTTTTTGTGAATTGCTGACCTCGTTACTGGCACATGCTTCGCCTGAGTACGTTAATTTTGTCCGCAGTATTATGCATGAATGCCAGTCCGCTGCCCCAAGAGCTCAACGACGCATTCTTAATATCGTTCAAATATTGCTCAGCTATAACTACGCCAAAGACATGTTCGCTGCAAATAGTGCTCTCCCGATCAACGTGCTCTCAGAACAAGATGCGTCCTGTATGCAGCAGCTTGCTCGAGCAGAGAGTTGGAGCGAAACCCTGGATTCATTTGTTCTGTGGAAAGGTCTTTCCGGAGTGGAGTTCTGGGAAATTTTTCTGGATTTGGCGCGCTCGAAGGATTCGCTGGTCGCTTCACGTGCACTTTCACTCGTGTCCCAGACACCGTTTCTATCCCTCGAAGATCCAGCTTGGCAGTATCGATGTGTGCAGAAACTGTCGGGTGTATTTTTCTCGACACTACGGCAATATCGGTCAGAACTCGTTTGGAAGGAAGAGAATTCATCCAGCGAATTGCGTTTACCGCAAGGTCATAATGTTCTCCAAAGTCGTTTACAAACTCTCAAGATGATTGTGTTTCGCGTTTTAGCCCTGGATGGAGGTGTTGCTCATTACCAATCCTCCATTTACAGCATGTTTGCATCGTTATGGTTAGACGCACTGTTGTCTAACACGTCGGTGACCAGTATTCCCACGCATTTTCCCAGTAGTGTAAACTTTGCTGACTTGAACACAAACGATGATGACGGTCTGCTTGACGAGCGCCAGATTATTCGATGCGAGCGTACATTTAGCTCCAAGTGCACAAATTTGCAGTCATCACAGGTAATAACGAAAGTTGCCGAGGCAAAGCTGGTGTATCGGAAAACACTGGACTCGTCTTGGGAACGTGAAATGCATGCTGCGCGTGTGTGTAGCGTGTACGCGACCGATCTATTCTCTCAGCTTCTCGCTTCTAACGGGACTGCTGCTAGCCTACTTACTGATGCCGAAACTAAGGACAAAACTACGTCGAACATGGAGGAGGACGAGCAGTTTGAGCGGAGATTGAAGACAGTCGTGGATTTGCTTTTGGAGCGTGTGGTTCCATGCTGCGGCATTCCAAGCGACGACGTTTACAAGGATATGCTGCCGAATCGCTCGAGCTTCGATGTTGACTTGCGTGTGGAGCAGTGGTTGAACCACTTTCCTGCATTTCTCCCGTTGCTGCGTTCCGTAGTCTCGACATCGACGGTTTTGGGTTCTTCCCAGCTGCTACGTCTTGTGCCTGTGTTCAAGTCGGCGTTGATTGTGTTATTGGGCCACTGGAACAGTGTTAAGGGTGAGCTGAGCGTGGAAAATGTCGACGTGCCTCCTTACATGCGCAATCAGAACCAGCTGGCGATCACGTGCGAGTTAATTCGGCTACTGCGCGCAACAACTTGGCTGCCTGTGCCCTTGGGCAAGACAGCTGAGCTTCTTCCATTGACTACACCTGCTGACATTCGCTCGATTCTCTTCAGCTGCTGGTTTTACCTTTCCGATCATCCACCAAAGACTGGCTCACGTGCTCCGACACCTGCAACATCCGCGACGACGTCTCCAATATCGTCAGGCTCGTCTCCTGCTCGTTTTAGTATTGCCGGATTGTCCACTGGTGGTCCCACATCAAGCTCGAGTCATCCACCTCTTGAGTTTTATCTGATCCCATTGCGAAAAGCGTTGCATCGCAATATCCGCAAGATTGGTGCCAAGTACCCGCTCTTCTCCTGCTGAGTTCACTTTAACAGTAGTACTGATATTCGAGCATAAAGATTAATATTTTTATATATCTGAGAAAGTAAACAGTGTAATACTTTGATTCAAATCGTGTAGTACTCATTTTTACTATTATCGTCGCGATTATTGCGTACTTTGACCCATTTTCTTTTCATCCAATCAAATCTTGCGCTCGTGTCCGTTGGTTCCGAGAATCGGAGCTTCTCGTCATGGACGACATGGAGCTATTACTGGTCCGCATCGATCACTTTCACGACCGCAAGAAATACATTTCAGTGTTACGGGAGTGGTTGAAAGAGTTACAGATTGTTAATGGTCGTATAATCAGCCTCGGGGTTGATGTGCAGCTGCTTTTTGTGGCTGCATCTGAAGTCCAGAACTCGAATTTGTTACAATTTTACAAGTTACGAGACATTGATACGAACAGTCGTGGAGAACGTTGTGTGGACAACTTTATTGATGTTTTGGGACGTAAAAAAGTGTCGACAAGTAGCAGCTGCAAGGGATTTATGGAGATGAATGTGCTGGTAAGAGAGAGAGAGAGAGAGAGAGAGAGAGAGCGAGAGCGAGTTGAAATGGGACGATTAAGGAACTGATTGATTCATTATTTGTTCATGTAGAGTCCAAAGCTGTTGCAAAAGGTGTTAGTGCACGAGTGGAAAGCAGAGCAAGAGTGGCTGGATACGGTACTGGCGACTAAGCGTACCAAGGCGTTTCTTGAGTGGAAAGAGACAGCAAAAGCTGCACGGAAGGAACGGAGGAAGAGAGAGGGACAGGAAAAACAACAAGAGCGAGAAGCGAAGAAGAGAAGGAAGGAGAAGGAGGCAGTGCAAACGGAACAGGTAGAGGCTGCACGTGCAGAGGAAAAGAAAGAAAATGGTAATGAAAAGGAAGACAAACTGATGAAGAGTGGGGAAGTCAGGAAGCAACAGACTACGTCAACGCCGCAGAAGCAGCTAAAACAGAAGCAGGAGCAGCAGCTTTTGGCTCAGAAGAAGAAGAAGAACAAGAAGCCGTGAGAAAAGCTTATATCCCTATAAACATCACAGTTTGGTATTAATATCATTAAACGATAAAATATTATTTTAGAACTAATACCGTAGAGGAAAAAGCTCTTCCTTTTGTAATATACAACAAAGAATTCTACTACGTATAGTTTATAATACAATAGTGGAAAATAGTACTCTTATTACTCATTCCTTTACATTGTTACAAGGGAATATCCTACAATGATCAAGCGCCACAATAAAGTGACTTTACCACCAGGTTACAGTCAATTGGTACGTCTATAGAGCTTCTTCTTTTATTCTAATAACAAAAATGTGCATTTAATATTGTAATATTTATGTATCAGCATTGGATGCGACTGTGTCAATCAGGTCAAGATTTATCTGGTTTAGGTACTACTTTTCCTCGTCGAGCTATTTTAATGCAAGAAGTAGCTTGTCATAATACTCAAGATGATTGCTGGAGTGTCCTGAATGGTAAAGTATACAATATGACGTCATATCTTCAATTTCATCCAGGTGGTATTGCAGATTTAATGTTATCGGCTGGAGGAGATTGTACCGATCTCTTTAATGAGAAACATCCATGGGTCAATGGACATGGAATGCTGGAAAAGTGTTATATTGGTGAGCTGGACATGGACTCGATCATGACCAAATCAGATACAAAAATGGATGAGTTTGCGTTACACAAGACCCAGTGGCGATCATTTCCACTCGTCTTCAAGCAGACAGTGAGTCATGAGACGGTCAAGTTGACATTCAAGTTGCCTAGCAATAAATTACTGGGACTGGAGATACCAGGACAGCATTTAAAAGTGCGAGCTAAGATCAAGGATCAGACGATCGAGAGAGCGTATACGCCGACGTCTAAATTCTCTCAATCAACGTCTTTCGATCTGATTGTCAAAGTGTATCCGGACGGAGTGATGAGCAGCTATTTGAACGACTTGGTGGTGGGCGATAATGTCGAGATGCTAGGACCACAGGGACAAATTGGGTACCCTGAAGCTGGCATTGTGACCTATGGAGGTCAACCGAAGCTGACCAATGTACGTCACATCGTGATGGTTGCTGCTGGAACGGGCGTCACTCCGATGATGCAGCTTATCCGTGCTGTTGTCGAGAACAGTAAGGACACGGCCACAGTTACGCTGGTGGACTGCAACCACTCGTTAGCGCACATCATTGCGCGCACGCAGTTGGAACCGCTAGCTAACATGTTTTTAGAGCGGATCAAGATTCACCACATTCTTCATGAGGCCAGTGAAGACGATTCTCGAGACTTGGGATCGTTCCGAACCGGTATGCGACTGGATAAGGCGATGCTGACTGAGTTACTACCAAAAGCGTCGCCCGATGTGGCTGCCTTCCACTGTGGCCCACCAGCCTTTGACGAAGCTGTCAGTACAATGCTGAAGGATCTGGGCTTTAAGGAGAACCAGATCTTCATGTTCTAGGAATTACAGATGCAGCGACATGGTCAATAGCCGGAACAGCACATCGTGTACATGTTCTGCGAATGCTTGGATTAGAGAACCATGATACAGATGATGGCGTGACTGGCACTACAATCACTGGAATGTGTTTTTGGATCGCAAACGTATCGAACAAATAGCAAATACTGTTTAATAAGTAATGGAAATGGTTAATCCAAGTCACACACACATGTAAGGTGATTGTAGTCACAAATCAGATCACTTGAGCGAGCTCGTCACGCAGACTGCGAAAGCCAGCAAGCTCATCGTCAAAAACTGATGTCTGAAACGGAGTTCCTTGGCTGCCTTCATTTGCCGGCTTGCCCAAATTTTTGACTTCCACCGACGTAGAGACAGCAGACACAGACCTGCTCAACCGCGGCGCGTTCTTGAGCTGGTGAAGGAACTCCCCCACTGCTGCAGTCTCCAACCTTGACGAACAGTTCAGCGTGCTTGTTGACTGGGAGTCTAAGGCAGTAGTAGCAGTCGTTGAGCCATCCCCAATCGCAAAAGGCAGCATCAGGTCCGAGCCATCGCTAAAGTAATCATCACCTTGGGCATTGCTGGCACCACCGGTCTCAGCACTTCCTGAAAGCGAGAGCCGGGGTCGGCCTCCGCTGCTCGCTCCAATAAGTGCAAAACCAAATGAATCGGGTGTATCAGGTGAGACTCCCCATGCCGTCACACCACTGTCACCAAAATCAGGCAAGAACCCACGCTTTTTCACGGAAATTAGGCTGGCAGAAGTTGACCCCTTTACGCTGTGAAGCCCCAGCTGGAACTGATCTGTCGTAATAAAAGTGGGCGCATTGCTAGCGCCTGCCTTAATGCGACTCTTACTGTATGAGTAACCAGGAGACGTAGAGAGAAGCTCACACGGATTCGCTTGGAACGGGGGACTCGCAGAGAACATCGCCATATCATCTGTACGTGCATCACCAAAAGGGATTGTAACGGCTTCTGCTTTTGCCATACTTCCAGCAGTAGTGTTTAGACACTGCGAGTGAGTCGCCTCAGAAACGAAAGCGCCATTAAAAGAGATCTTTCTTCGCCTTGGGTCGTGCTGCTGCAACGATACAGTCTTCGGGTGACGAGGCGGGGTCGACAATGGGTGGTATGACGTATTGTTGTTGCTGGTCGATGGCTCCTCGTGGGAGGATGTCTGAGACATACGCAGCCCGCTTTCAATCTCTTGACGGTTCGTGCCCTCCCAAAGCTGCTGCTGGCGCTGCTGGAATGCGAGCGACGGCGAAAAGCTTTGCTTTTGTTCCCGCTCAATTGCAACATTTCCGTAGCCATAAGGAGCCGCTGTCACATTCGGATCGGCAGCTGCATCCCGCAGTCGAGTGTCATCGTCTCCTCCGTATGAATGTGCATGCTGAATCAGATTTCCATCACTTTTCACCTCACGATACCCAATAGCAGTCCCCACATCTCTAGCACCAGCAGCGGCAATACCTCCTTTACTGCTAACCCGTGGAATAGCCATAGGTTTTGACATGCTTGGCTGAGGCCGCGACGCTACTTCGTCATCAGCTTCGATATCATCCACAAGATCTGTACTGTTAAACTGCTGCTGTGGTTTAGCAATAGACATAGGAATCGAGCGAGGTGATGATCGACGTCGCTGTACATGTAGATCTCTATCATCACCTCCATCAAACTGCTCTGCATCACTTACTGGCACAAAAGAATCTGTGCGCAGATCCATCTCTCTCATCGGTAAATGAGTCATTGTTGTCGGTTCAGGCGCACTAGCAGGAACCAGCTCCGGCGAGCCCGGTACATAGTCGTGAATAATGAAATTATCCTGGAAAATACGCGAAAGCGCAACTTGCTCCTGTTGCTCCATAAACTGGTCGCAATCACGCCGATAAACTGCTGCCACTTTCAGCAAACCAAACGGCGTCGCAATCGGAATAAAAGAATATCCACTTGTTGCAACATGTTGAGCTTCAAACGCACGTGTGGCGTCGCTCGCCGGTGCTGTGTGCATCGTATAACTCAATTGTGAAGGATATGATTGCGTAAACAATCGGTGCGCTGGAAGTTGCCGCATGAACGAGAACAAAGCACGCAAGAGCACGCTAATCCTCTTACAGACCCCCTTTAGTTGCTGAATCACGTCCTGCGTCGAGCCCAATTGAGTGTCACAGTTCTCTCCTTCTGCTGCGAACGTGATACTCCAGCGCTCAAGCAGCACTTTACACCGATCATCTCCTGCTCCGTCCCAATAAATGTCAATGGTCAGCGGCTGCCGCACGTCTTCTCTCCAAATAGTCATAGCGTCCCGAACCATTGGGACTCCTTCAATGTCTAGATTAAATCTAGTTCGACGACTACCACGTCGCAAGTCTGGCTCCGCCTGAATGTTTACTCGACTCTGGACAATAAGTTCTGCTGCTTTATGTAGAAATTCTAGCACCACTTGCTCCGATTTTGCTCGACCCGCTGGAGCAACATAAGCAAACAAAAAGAAGAAGACTGTTTACGTAATCCAGTAAGAAGAAGAAGGATGAGCATTAGAATGACGTACTGGAAGAGCCCAAAAAGCGTGGAGGCCGCAATGTTGGAGAGTGATATCGAAGAGGAGTAAGAGCAGACGATTCTTGTGAAACGGCCTGGAATCTACGACTGGATAAGTCCATAGACGACATCGTAGCACGCAGAGGAAGCAGAGCCCAAGTGACGTCTGAGTACGACGAGATGGAAAGAGCAGGTAGAATTTTAACCAATAGAAAACGAGATGCAATTAGAAGTTGTCAGATGTTTCTAAATTCGCTAAACGAGTGTTTCTATACCCTCTGCCTTTTTATACAGACCATACGCTGCGAAGTGTCTTTTCTTTGTTCGTGGTAATGACAGATATTTAAATTACAGTACAATGATTGACAAGTGATGCCAATGCAGCAGATAATCATGTGTCTTTATAAAGAAAACTTTGTAAGCAAGGGATCTTGCAATCACTTTGACGTGTACGTTATCCGCTACTTATTGTAGCGACTGCTTTTTATAAAAAAACAAAATATTACCAACTTCTTCTTCCTCCCTGAGACTCGAGAAAAGTCAACCCATTACATCCATAGACACTAATATTCAGTGCCTTATATCTTAGCTGTATCTTAACTGATAGTATTCTACAATATTACCTTTTAAGATACTATTTGTCGTCGCATCTCCTTAAAGTTGGAGATGCCCTTTTCACTGCCTGATATAGGCCATGATAGCAGCCAATGCGTTGGTCAATGAAGGATGGACGCACGCAATGAGTGAAGGGCAAGTAGTTGACATACATAGATGTAGTTGAATATATTGTTAAAGACAAGGTTATAACAGATTTAGTTTATATTAGATAACTATATTATATACAGTTTTCATTCTCTTCACAACAAAGCGGTTGTTAGTTGTGTAGCTTCCTCTCCTTCTTTGTGTAAGAGAGATATAGAGGCACCTGCTTACACTGTCATCACTATACTGTTATCAGTATGCCCCGTAACACCTGATAAAACTTTGTGGTCTTTTTAACGATCAATGATACATCCCCTATAGAACTATCGGATGTAGAATGTCATCACGTATCTCGTGATGACTTCCTACATTTGAGAAATCTCGAATGGCAAGCGGTACATCGTCTGGATGAAACCGTCGGATATGCCACCGTCGGTGCCATGGTGCTCTCTCTAGGAGGAGACGAACAACATGCAACCATCTCCAAGTTCATGCAACATGAGCTTGACGAAGTCGTCAAGAAACTCACCTTGCTTCAAGAGAAAGGTTCACAACAAGTAGCTCTGTTGAGAGAGCAAGGCACTCAAAAATCTTACTTAGAGACAGCAGGGTTTTCAACAGTCCGAACTGTTGAGACAACAGCAAGCAGGTGCTACTGCTGCTGCCGGGTCGATGAATACACGTCGACCCTATTCCTTAAAGATTGATGTCTCCAAGTTCAAGGCAGACGAAGTGACTCCTTGTTAAGATTGTTCGCCGAGCTCGACGAGGCTTTTCGCATCGAAGTCGAGGCGATGAAGGTCAAGTTTGTGATGTCGAACGTAGCTGGACGTGCCAAAGCTTAGGCATTAAGATGGTCCCGTCAATACCCTTCTGTTTCGCTTGGAGAAAGAGTCGCTTGATCCAGAGATCTCTGAATCGAAACAGGAGGACGTCATCCTGAAACAGGACCAATCGGGATCCTATCGTCCACCGAGACAACAGGAAGGCGAAGACCCAGAGCCAATGAGCCTCTCCTATGAAGAGAGCGAGCGACCTCGCTCTCCAGGATAGAAGCTGCAATTGCTTTCAGAAGATGGGTCACTACGCTTACCCCACGCCAAGTGTCCCGTCACATTGGAAGTGACGACCGTCTATCTGCCAAGAAGGGCCAGCGACGTGGGTCCCACGCTGCTTCGAAACCGCAACAACGTTATTAACCGTAAAAAACGGTCGGGGTCAGTAGGAGCAGAGCGCCATAATTATCCAGCAACATCACGAGAGTTTGCGAGACTCCTGACGAAGGTTGCTCCCAAAACACAGTCACTGTAGTTGCCTCTCCTAGTAATGAGGTATCTCTCACCACCATAAAGATCGAAGTGACAACAGACATGTCACTTAGAGCTCTAGTTGACTGCAAGGCATCGAAAAACTTTGGTCGACGCCAGCTGCTAGATGATCGTAGGCTCAAATATGTTGAGTGCAAGAACCGTCCAATGAGGATGACGGTGCGCCCTGCAACTGGCGCATCCGTAACAGTAAAGAAACGTGTAATAGGAGTTCACTAAACGATTAAAGGAAAATAGTACGATGATAATTTCATCGTACTCGATCTGGATAACAAATTTGATGTCATTCTACAATAACCATGGCTCGAGCCTTTTGAGTTCGATGCTGAAAGTTTACCATGGCTCGTGCCTTCTGAGCCATAATAAAGCTGGCAGCATCGAACCGTGAAGACTCCTGTCACTTGTTTATCAGATGACCATATGATGAACATCCCAAGCGTTCAAAAGCGTGTGATTAAGCGCGATGGCCTCACAATGGACGAAAGTGTAGATTCGGATTGAGCGATATAGATCGCAATCCTGGGAGTCACTCAAGTCAAATGCTTTGTAGAAGGATTTGAATGAATTCAAGGATGTATCCCTTGAATCCATACCGTGCGAGTTACCTAAGGATAAAGGTACTTGATACCAGGTCGACCTAGTTCCAGGCACAAAATATTGTGTGGCCACTGCCTCGAGACAGGTCGAAGCGTTTAATAAGCTCTTTGCGATCGCCTTGCTGCGGGCAATGTGAGGGGTTCAACTTACCCTCACAGCTCTCCGACCTTCTGCGTGCGTAAGGCCACATGAGGGTGGCGGATAGTGCACCGTCAACGAAAAACGTTTTGAAATTTTATATAATTAATTGTGTAAAAGTTGAGCGTTGCAACTATACCGTCGCAAACGCCGATACAGAGAAGGACGTAATCATAGATGGTATGTCTAGAGTACCATCTTTTCGTCCATGGATCTGTTGAATGGTTTCTATCAGATAATAATGCGTGAACGGGACATGCCGTACACAGGAGTGAGCACTCCCAGTGGTATGCTCTGAGAATGGTTGGTGATGCCGCAAGGGCTTAGTAATGCACCAGCCACATTCAATAGATGTGTTTCACATCTATTGAGACCGGTGCGCGCATTCTCACCGAGTTACTTCGATGATGTGTTCATCCATAGCCGGGCTATGGACGGGAAACCAGACGTGGAAGTCCATCGACTCCATGTCCGTAAGGTTCTTACACATATGCGCTAGCAGGAGTGATACGCCAACCTCAATATGTAACGGGGCTAGAACGTACCGTCACTAGCTTACACGTGCGCTTGAGGAAGACTCAAGCCCGAGTATTAGGTATTAAGTAAATTTAACTCTGATTTTTATTTTGGTTTTAATTCGTACTAATTACGAAGATTTTAGTCGTAATAAATACGACAGTTTTCCCGCCTTTCGGGAACCACACAATTTCAGGTTGATTTATCATTGGTCCATATTGGGGACTTTAGGCCCAATAATAAACCAATAATAAATTACCACGCTGTGCCCGCTATTCGGGCCCAGCACCTGCCTACATATGTAATTGTTTATTTGTGTTAATGCTATATGTGTAATGTAGCCCATTACATCACCCCCTTCTCATGACAGCACTCACCAACCGTGAGTGCTCAACTGTCGAAAACCCTTCGCCCACAAACGAACAAGCAATGTCCGGAGACCCAGAACCCAATCCAGCAGGACGCCCAAGATACATCAGCGGGAATGCATCAACCAGCATCATGGCGCGGCAGCTCATACCTTGGTCGCTGTACGACTTGTCCGGAGCTCACGCTCCGGACTCACTGGACATGATGCGGGAATACTTCCGCCGATTTCGAAAACTGCGCGGGAAAGGTCTTGATGGAATCGAGCATGAAGCTCTACAACGTTCTTGGTGCGCCTTCATCCAACGTTGGAATCGGATGCTCGAGGATGGTAGCAGCTTCCAGTTATGGCTCGCCAATCGAGAGGAACTTCGCGCCGATCACTCCATCGGCGCGCTACGCGAAAGAGTGTGTGAGGAAGCTTGGAATGAGGACCGTCTCTGCTTCGTCCATGTCAATGAAGGATGCCAATCTTGTGACTCGACTCCACGCCCAACTCATGACGAATGGCGACGACACATCGCTGAGTGTCCACTCAGCGATCGCGAACGAAGTTGGATTGCAAAGTATGAGCGAAGTCTGAGCGAACGGAGAAGCGCAGTTATTCGTGGTGCGCCTCGCTGGCAGCACCACTCGCGACAGCGGAGTCAATCTCCGCGGGATCATCAGCGCAGGGCAGCGACACGTTCGCTTGTCCGTCCTGCTTCGCGATTCTCGCCTCGCAATCGTGATATGTATTCACCGCGACGTTCTCGTTCACGGCGTCGTTCTCGTTCGCGACATCGTTCTCGTTCTGGTCATCGTTCCCGTTTCCGACAACGTGAATCTCCTTACCGCTCTCGTTTGTCACGAGAGCGTTCGCGTGCTCGCCCGCCTTGGAATAGTCCGACTTCGTGGCTTCATACGACAGAACCACATCTGGAACGTCACGAAGGAGCGAGGAACGTGGTTCCCATGTATCCTGCTCGGGAGGGAATCCAAGCCAACGTACTCGGTACCTACGCACGGATGGAACCGCACGCTTCTCATGAGCCGACTGCAGTAATGGTTGTGGAGGGTCCTCGTGACCCACAATGCGGTCTACAATCCAGCGCACCTGTCCCTCCGCATCAACAAGCGGAGGAGGGCCCTCGCGGTGGTAGAGCTGGCGTCCTGGTTGCTCAGGACGATGTTGATCAGGCCGTGAATATAGCTGCCGATGCTCGGCTGGAGGCTGAGGCTGCCAGTGAACGTGCTGCCCAGGCGGAGAAGACTTCGAGTGAGACCCGGCAGTCGAACCGTGAACTGCTCGAGCGGATTCTGGAGCGCCAGATGCTTGGTCAGGTTCAGACGGGATCGAGACCCCGCCCCATGTCATCGGCGCGTCGAGCGCGACGGGAAGGCCGTTCGACTTACGAACCCCTGAAGCCGGCGTCGGAGCAAAACCGTGAAGCGTAGCCGGACGATATTCCTTCAGCCGCCCGACATAGAATGTCGGGTGGAGT